CTTCGAGTTGGAGCTGATATGTCTGTCATAAATCGTTGTCGTATTGATGCTTATCAAGACACCCTATATGCACATTCTCAAAGGCAATTCTATCGAGACTCCTACGTGACAGGTACTCGTGAAGCAGATTACCCCAAATGTGCTATGCTTTCCATTGAACTCAGTATTAAAAAGTTCAAAATCCTAAATCCGTCTCTGCAGGTACTGTTGATTTCATATTTGGTAATGCAGCAGTTGTATTCCAGAAATGTCAGATCGTAGCTAGAAAACCGAATAAAAGACAGAAAAACATGGTGACTGCACAAGGCAGGACGGACCCAAATCAGGCCACGGGGACATCAATTCAGTTCTGTGACATAATTGCAAGTCCGGACCTTGAACCAGTCATGAATGAATACAAAACATATCTTGGTAGGCCATGGAAAAAACATTCAAGAACGGTAGTGATGCAATCATACCTAGATGGTCATATTGATCCATCAGGTTGGTTTGAATGGCGCGGAGATTTTGCATTGAAGACATTGTATTATGGTGAATATATGAACAATGGACCTGGTGCTGGTACTAGTAAGCGTGTCAAGTGGCCTGGTTATCATGTCATTACTGATCCCAATGAGGCTATGCCGTTCACTGTGGCTGAGCTGATTCAGGGCGGATCATGGTTGAATTCGACTAGCGTGGCATATGTGGAAGGATTAGTTGAGTAGGGAATTATAAAATTACTCTTCGTTTATGTAGACGACATTACTGAAAAGCTCAAAATTAGTACTAGTAATATATATAATGTACAACACAAGTAAAGGCATAGCCAGGATTAGGAGCTTAAAGCATGAAAAAAAGAAAAAAAAACACAACTCTAGTATGACAAACATTTCCATGGCCTATTCCATACTGCTCAATCAGTTTTGTTTGTGGGGTTCATGAGTTAATATACATATAATTTATGTGAAAAAATTGCATGGTAGATTGTAGTTTTGATCTTCTAATAATCCTATGGGCCTTTTGGGCTTAATTAGAAATATCTATCTAGTATTATTTTTCTTTCTAAAATCGATTAACATCTCTTTTAAGTGATTAGTGGTAACACTTTTGGCATTTTAAGTAATTAAGCTTTTCAATTTTAGGCCTATAATTTTAAAATTTTAACCGTTTTCAATGATTAGAAGATTAATATCAAACCGATTAGATCCACATTTACATAATAGTGCATTCATCATTTTAAAATCCTCTAATTTTTCCATGTATATAATTTGATTGAATAAATGACAAAAATGATCCCTTATGTTTGAGGGTAGATTTAACATGGTCCTATGAAATTATATTTAATTGTTCAACTAGTGCAAATTAACTAAGACAAATAAACTGGATAGAGATCGAGAGTCGTGATCGAACATGACACTTTGACTACACAAAAGATATATATTGCCATGTCAGATTAACAAATAACATAGTCAATGAAACTTAATAGAAGTTTTTATTACATTTCTATGTGTTCTCCGCAATAATCGCTAAAATTAGAGGAAGAGAGTAATGTTGAAAAAGTCTTACAATCTTCTCTTTATTATTATTATCTCTGTTTCTCTTTCTCTCTATTTTCGTCCATTTTTTCCCCTTACCACCCCACGCCGTTGTGTCATTTCACACAACGGCATTAGCTGGTGATCATCGATCACCGGTCTCTTCTGGTTTCATCATTCCCGTGAATGTGATCGCAAACAAAGTCATTTAAAAACAAAATCCCAGATATATTCCTCCATAATTAAAGGAATGCAAATTCCATGGAGGAATATCTCTTGGGTCGTACTAGTTTTGGTTGCGTGCAGTTATCAAACATGTAACGGGCAGGATTACGGAGGAGACGAAAAAACGGTAGCAGCACCGCCACCGGAGCAAGAGAATTGCGATGGAATCTTCATCACCTATAATTTCGATGGACGAGAAAAGATATATCCATTAGTGAAGAATGTATCCGCACAGGGATGGTCATTCAAGTCGATGTTAACGGTGTTGAATGCCGGAACTTTTGAGCTGAAATCATGGCAAGTTTTCATCGGATTTCAGCATAACGAGCTTTTAGTATCGGCGGACGGTGCAGTTGCAATTGACGGCGATGGATTTCCGGTACGGGTGGGTAAAAATGGTACAACATTGGCTGGGTATCCACAATCCGATTTGAAAACGGCGATTGATACCGCCGGTGATTTTACTCAGATGTCAGCTCAAATCAATATTAAGGGGACGCAATTTGGTCTTAGAGAGAAAACAAATCCAATGCCTTCAACAATCAAGCTCGTCAATGAAGGATACAAATGCCCTGCTCCTAAGCGCTATAGTACGTATGTCGTGAATACTTATCTGCACCGAGTATTTACATCAAATTAACGAATGTATTATTCAATTTTGGTATTTCGATGTTTAATTGCAGAAAGTTACATGCATGTCTGTTGCAAGAGGGATCTTAAATTCAAGCCTAAGAAGGTGGTTACCAAGTTCATGCCTCGTCGTTATGGAGATCTTTCCATAACTTACGATGTTCTATCAGCATTCACGAATAGGTATCAGGCTCAAGTCACACTCGACAATCTGAATCCTTTGGGTCGTCTTGATCATTGGAACTTAACGTGGGAGTGGATGAGGAACGAGTTCATTAACACAATTAAAGGCGCGCATACTCACAAAATTGATCCTTCTGAATGTATTTACGGACCACAAGGACAATATTACAAGGATTTCGATTTCACTCCTGTGATAAATTGCCAAAAGAAACCAATCATTTCCGATTTACCTAAGGAGAAAGCAAACGATGACAAATTTGGGAAGTTGCCTTATTGTTGTAGAAACGGAACTCTTTTGTCACCTATAATGAACGAAACAGAAGCAAGGTCGATTTTCCAGATGGAAGTTTTCAAACTTCCCCCTGATTTAAACAGAACCGCGTTAAATCCACCTCAAAACTGGAAAATCACGGGCACAATTAACCCGTCTTATTCATGTGGACCGCCAGTCAGAATTGATCCATCAGTATTCCCGGATCCTAAAGGAATCGGAATTGCTACTGCTGTTGCTAGTTGGCAAATTACTTGTAACATTACGCGTCCTAAGCCCAAAGCAGCCAAATGTTGTGTTTCTTTTTCGGCTTATTATGCTGCATCCGTTATCCCCTGCAACACTTGCGCTTGTGGCTGTGAAGAGACGTCTAAATGTGACGCGAACAAAAAGCCACTACTTCTCCCTCCAGAAGCGCTACTCGTCCCTTTTGAAAATAGGGACTTAATGGCGAAAGCTTGGAGCAATATCAAACATCTTGGCCCTATGCCTAAGAAACTACCTTGTCCTGATAATTGCGGAGTGAGCATCAATTGGCATGTGGATAGTAACTATAAAACAGGATGGACTGCGCGTATAACGCTCTTTAACTGGGGAAATGACGCGTTTGAAAACTGGTTTTCCGCTATCCAAATGAAGAAAGATGTAGCTAATGGCTATGAAAACGTGTACTCGTTTAACGGTACAAGGTTACCTAAAGAAAAGAGTAACACTATATTTATGCAAGGTTTACCTGGTTTGAAATTCTTGGTTGGAGAGGTTAATGGGACTAATCCTAATAAGGATCCAAGAGTACCTGGAAAACAACAATCAATTATTTCATTTTTGAAGAAGAATACACCACATATCAACGTCGATGCTGGCGATGGATTCCCTTCTAAGATATTCTTTAATGGTGAAGAATGCGCGCTTCCACCAGAGTTTCCTAAAAACACTGCAGCATTCAAATCCAAATTTGGTGTTTTTCCAGCAGTTTTGCTTGCTCTCTTAACTTTCTTTCTTTTGACGGATAGGTTACACTGATAGTATCATTCAACCTGATGATATATGACTTAAACTCTTTCTTTACTATACTTTGTGGTGCACTAGCTTGTAACTACTATTCTTCTGTCTCATTTTACGTGGCACATTTTTAGTATGGTCACATTTCTATATACATTATTACATTGAGCTTTGAAGTTGAAGAGTAATGTAATCAAGTTATGACAGCAAAATGAAGAAAGAAAGAAAAAAAAATGTTGGTATGATCATGTCTTTGTTTACGTCTCTTTAAATTTATATGATCAAATGAGAAGTATCTTTTTCATGTTTATTAATGAAAAACTTTGGTTAATCTGTGTTGACTCAATTTTTAAAAGAAAATCAAAAGGTGGATGATAGGCTTTAGAGTTTGATTATACTAACTACCATTACTCAAAAAATACGGAATTAGCTATGAAATTTATCAGTAATTCCCAGCTAATTAGTAATTAAATATCTCTTCATTAGCTAATTCAATTTTCTTATAATTTATCGCTAATCCGTAGCTAAAAGGATTAGCATGAGATTTTTACTATTTAGCTTATGAAATTTTATCCATCACTAATTTCATTATTAGTAATAAACAATAGTATATAGTAATATATATCCTATTAAACAATAATACAGTATTTTTATTAATATATTGCCCAAGTAAGAAATATCAACTTGTTTTCAGTTGAGTCTCCAATTTATATTACAAAAATAAAAATAAAATCAATTTGCAAAACCATTGCTAAACGAAGGTGGAATAACTACTTTTAGGTATTTTTATTAATATGAAACTTTTCGATTCAGATTATTTTCGATACAAATTTGAATGTAGATTATAAATTTCTAAACTTGCATTAAACATATAACTTATTATTATTATTATTATTATTATACGTTTGCAATTGAATATTGATACATATTCACTAATATAAATTATTAAATTTATCTGAACGCGTACCTAATATTGTAACTCCACCCCTATAAATTCCGAATCCAAACAAAGAGCTTTTTCGGCATCATTTGCATGTTAAAAAATTGCCACGTTTAAATACTCTCTTTTGATGATTAACATTAATTAATTTTTTTTCATCTACCTAATTAGCCTTTCACTCAACACGTACTTAACATGCAAACCATCCAATCAGCTATAAATACAACTTTAAAATCCACTAATTTCACCATCACAAACACTTGCAAATTGCAATTAATTACCAAAAGTAATTAGCCATGGGGAATATTTCACTTGTTGCTGCTCTTTTATTGTGCTTGTTAGCATTCGCAAATGCTAACACGTTCTCCGTTACAGTATCTGTGACGGAGAACGACAATCCACAAAGCTGTCAAGAGCAGATTCAGAGTCAGAGACTCAATCACTGCAGGTAAAAATTACTTAATTATACATAAAGAAATTAAAGTATTTTTTTAAAAAATTAATTTTTTATTTTAAGAAAATTAAAATATGAGTACATTAAATTTATTTTAAAAATTAATCGATTTAACTCTTATACTTTAAATCAGGTCAAATAAAGTGAAATTGAGCAAATACTATCCTTATACCACAATATTGTTTTACAAAAAAGACCAATGACACGTAAAACAAATATAAAATTATAACACACAAAGTAATGCCTTCACACAAACATAGAACTTAGTAATATCGACTCAATTTTTCTTAAAAAGTCCATTCATAACAACAAGTCAAACTTTTACGTACTAACATAAAATTCTAAATACGTTACTGATTTCAGGATGTATATTTCAAGAAGCCACCAATACTTTAACGACGAGTTGAGCATGGTAACAGATGACGATCATGAGATCAACCAAACCCAAGAACATCTCCAACAATGTTGCCAAGAATTGAGGAACATGGACACTCAATGCCGATGCCCGGCGCTTAAGAAAATGGTGATGCAGGATTGCGGTAGACAAGGCGAAGAGGCGCAACGTATGTTAGGGAAAGCTCGTTATATTCCGCGTATGTGTAACATTCAACCCGCTCAATGTAGCTTCTAATTGATATAGAAGCTCGATCAGTATAAAAAATTACGTTGAAAGTACTATAATAATGAACACACAATCGTGTGTATGTATGGGAATTAAGCAAGGGTTAATTTGGTTTTATCTTATGGGAAATGAAAGAGACTTGAGACTTGTTTTATATGCTTGTTAATTAATATTATTCTCAATGCGAATTTGATGCTAAAAATAGATTTTAGGCCTAACTCAACTCAAAAATTAGTTTATAAGGGGCGATGATTGTCCAAATCTATATAAGAAGACCAAATTGTCATCCCTCTTCTGATGTAGAACTTCATTATATTTGCTCGCACATTCAGACCTCGTTAATTGAAGCGAATAATATAATTTCTTAACACTCCTCCGCACACCTAAACCTCGTTAACTCTAGCGTGAACATTATAATTTCTTAACACTCCCCCACACATTCAAGCCTCGTTAACTGGAACGTGAACACTATAATATTGGAGCTCAACATCGGTAAATCGTTAAATCCTTGTTAACAGGAGCTTGGACACTATAATTTCTTAACATTCTCCAACACACTCAGACCTCGTAACAGAAGCGTGAACATTATAATATGAGGGCCCAACATCGAAAAATCGCTAACTTCTCATTAACCGAAGAGTGGACATCATAATATGGAGGCCCAACATCGGTAAATTGTTAACGGGAGTGTGGACACTGTAATATGAAAATCCAACATGAGTAAACAAATATAATTGGGATAGGCCTACTAACTCTGATATCACGTAAAGATGGATTTCGAACCTAACTTAACTCCAAAAACACTAAGTTATGAAATTTTTTTTGTCCAAATTCATATAAACAGACCGAACTCCCGTCCCTTTAACACAAACAAAGAAGTTTTTCGGCAGCATTTGCATGTTAAAATTGACACACGGAAGGTAAAAGGCTAAAAGCAGCCACGTTTAATACTTTATCTTGTGATGATAACTTTTTTTTTTTTTTCATCTACATATAATTTGCAGTGATGCAACACGTATTTAACATGCAAACTATTTAATCAGCTATAAATAGACCTTTAAAATCGACTACTTCACCATCACAAGCACTTGCAAAAAAAAATAATAAATTTAAACATATCTTATTATTGTTGTCATGGGGAAGATTTCACTTGTTGCTGCTCTTTTGTTGTGCTTGTTGGCATTGCAAATGCCAACAGGTTTTCCGTCACGGTAGCTGTGACGGAGAACGATATTGAAAATCCACAAAGCTGTCAAGAGCAAATGCAGAGTCATAGGCTCAATCACTGCAGGTAAATAGACACCTCCATTTAGGAGAAGTTGTTTTAATTTAAAAAAATTATATATTTTTTTAATTTTATTTTATATAAGTTAGTTTAACTAGACACAAAATTTAAGAAAAAAATAATTTTTAAAACTTATACTTTTAAAATAAGTGACAAATATTTTTGGAGTCTGGACCCAAAGGACAAGAAAATTAGTCAAAGGTAACAAAATTGAGTTGAGAATCGAGAAAATATTTAGACGGTCTAACAAACACCGCGTAAATTAGAGAAAAAGGAGCAAAGGCATGAAGTTCTATGCGCCTTACAAAATGGCTGTCAGCGTCTTGCAAGGCGCAAGTGCCTTTCTTTTTGTTTTTTTAAGTTTATGTTTAAATTTTTTGCTTTTTAGTTAATTTTTTTATAAAAAAAAAGGCGCAAAGCCCTTGCGTCTTGCAAGACGCTGAATTATGTGCATCTTGCAAGACGCTGAATAGCGTCTTGCAATCGTGCGCGTCTTGCAAGACGAATAGAATTTCACGATTTGCTCATTTTTCCTCTAATTTACATAGAATTTGTTAGACCATCTAAATGTGGTCCTTTTAAACTTTTAATTAATCTTTTTTTTCTTTTGGCTCCGTACTCTACTTGTGTCACTATAAATTACTTTCTTTTAGTTGTCATTTTGATATTCAATTTGATTAATTTTTAAAATTAAATTAAATTATATTAATTTAATATTTTAAAATAAAATCTTATATACTCAAAAACTATACTAAAAATATAACAATTTAATTTTTTAATATCAATATAATGAAAATTCATATCATTTAACTTTAAAAAAAAGAACACTATAAAAACTAAAAAGAAACAAAAGGAGTAAAATAAAATGGAGGACAAGTACTATGACTCATAACGTAACGCCTAGACATAATAAACATTCACCGGTGTGACACTAACATAAAATTCTGCATACGCTACTGTATGATTACAGGATGTACGTTTCAAGTAGTCGCCAATACTACAACGACAACCTAAGCATGGTGACAGATGACGATCATGTGATCAACCAAACTCAAGAACATCTTCAACAATGTTGCCAAGAATTGAAGAACATGGACACTCAATGTCGATGCCCAGCACTTAAGAAAATGGTGATGCAGGATTGTGGCGGCGGCGGCCAATGCGAAGAGTCGACACGCTTGTTCGGAAAAGCTCGTTACGTTCCCCATATGTGTAACCTTCAACCCACTCGTTGTAGCTTCTAATTAATAAATATAGAAGCTCGATCAGTATAAAAATTACGGTAAAAGTACTATAATAAAAACACACTATCGTGTGTATGTTTGGTAAGAGGCAGAGTTAATTTGTGAACTTCGTCTGTGGTTTTATTGTATGGGAAGTTTTTTTTAAGTGTTGGAGTCGTTTTGTATGAACAAAATTTAGGGTTCTATATGATCTTGTTGATTAATTATAGGGAAAAAGGATAAATATGTCCTCGAATCATCATAAATGGTGGTATGCAGATATACGGAAGATTAAATATCGACACTTGATATAATTTTATCTGTCGATTTAAAATTTAATAAATATTGAATCAGTGTATAAGATTATGACCCGTGTATATCCCTTAATATAAAGGGTAATATGTTCTAATTTTTGAACGACAGGGCACTAATGTCCCAAAAGTATAACTGATGATAACTACATATTATTTTTGATAGTTCGTATATTTTTCCCCCCCTTAATTTTATATAGTCTTGATGCGTGTGAACATTTTAATTAATATATACTAGTAATTAAGTGAATAAGAATATACTCCCTCCGTTTCAAAAATCGTCTAAAAAAGAATGATTTTTTTTAATCCATTCAAAAAGATTGACCTCCTTTTTTTTGTAACATTTTAATTTCAGTATTCCACGTGGCATGTTTAAGACCACAAGATTAAATAACATTTTGATACATTTGACATTACTTTAATTTTGGACCACAAGATTAAAAAATCTTCTTTCTTTTATTAAATTCCGTGCCTAATTAAATTAAATCATTTTTTTAAAAAAAAAAGAGATAATCTTTTTTTTTCAAGTATAATAAACATGATATCAGAGTAAGGCACAACTGTCAACACGCCACGAAAAAAACTATAACGTGAAATTCTTATGTTTAAGGGGTATCAATTTGCAGGGAATTATATTCTTATTATGAGAGAGTATTGAAAATTTGGCTTGAATTATTGATTGTGTTAAAATTAAAATCTCTTTGTTTAATTAACTGAATTTATGATAAAAACTGAATTTAATTGCACAATCAGAATTGAATTATAGAAGGAGAATGAATCTGAATTTCATATCAATCACTCACTTTACATTGTATTACTCTGTACATATATATACATGTAATAAGTGATTTATTTACAAGGAAACCATCTTCTAGAATCTTCTCAATATCCTAACTAACTATCATATCAACTTAATTAACTATCACATGTAAACTAATCAAGTCAATTATTTATAATCTCTAATAAATTACATACTCGATTTTTCAATATGAGTGAAATGAGCTCCTATACATAGAAAATTTGAGAAAGTGTGACTAATAAAATTTAAATACAAATTCAATTCTGCAATATGAGTGAAATACACTTCTAAATTATTCTATAATCTCATCAAATTACTTTTTATTTAGAGTTGCATGCTTCTAGACCACTTGCTATCTCATCCGACAGATCAAAGGTATATCTAAGTTTAATTAGTCAAATAAAAAAATATTTTTCATTTCACATCCAAATAATTTAAGTTAAAAGTGTTTTTCTCGATCAGTAATATTGTTTGTATGCATTTGAAAACGTGGAAAAGCATGAAAATATTTCACATTTGCATTTTTAGCAATTCAACACGTACTTGACATGCAAACCATCCAAATCTGCTATTTATACCCACATAAAATTGACTAATAATTCATCATCACAATTCACAAATAAATAATAAACACATCACTCTTTTGCCATGGGAAAAATTTCACTTGCTGCTCTTCTTTTGTTTTTCTTGTTGGCAGTTACAACTGCCAACATGTTCACCGTCACGGAGTCCGTGACGGAGGACGATATCGAAAATCAACGGTCACGGAGCTGCCAAGAGCAGATCCAGACGCATAGGCTCGACCACTGCAGGTTTAAAAAAAGATTGTTACATTAATAATATATATATATATATATATATATATATAATCAGTCTAAGTATACTAATTGAAAAATAATACAATGTTAGTGTGTAACTATAAATTTGAGCCATAAAATACTCTATTTGTTTCATTTTTATTTGTCATATTGTGTTTTTTAAAAGTCAGTTTGATTAGTTTTTAAAATTAAAATTAGATTATATTAATTTAATTTTTTTTTAAAAAATTATATACTAAAAAATTATACGAAAAATATTATAAATTGCAATTTTTTGCATATCAATATCATGAAAGTATACTCGTGAAATGTTGATCAAAATTCTTATAGTTTAGCTTTAAAAAAAAAAGAACATGACAATTAATTATGAACGAAGAGTAAGTCATAAACAATTTCTGTCGTTCGAGGACATATGGTGAAAAAATTATTGCGTTTTACTTTATGTGACACAATTATTACTGTATATTTAGAAAGTCAAAATTAATTTTTTTATATAGGGAAAAGGGTTTGATATATCCCTCAACTTTGTCATTTTGAGCTGATATACCCCTTGTTATGAAAGTGGCTCATATATACCTCTACTTGTAAACAAATGGCTCACATATACCCTTTTCCTCTAACGGAAATGAAAAAAATAATAATTTTAATCTAAATTTTTATTTTTTTTTCTAAAAAATATAATCCCATATGAGTAAATTCAATCCTTGTCAAATATATATTTTTTGACTTTTTTTTTGTTTCAATGACTAATTTATAATTATATTTTGATAATCAAATTTATTTATGTATCACTAATATTCTTGTAAAACTTATTGTAGATGACCAAAATTTTTCTTCGAATACGAAATTAAATTACAATACACACAAAAAAATAGTTTAATTTTTTATTCTTTAAATTAAGGAATGAAAGAAAAAACAAAATAAGAATAAGAAATTCAAATAATTATAATAAAAGAAGTTAAAAAATAATTTATGTATGAAAAAAAATTAAAATATACCTTGTACATTAATAGAAGAATCATATATACTCCTAAATAATTTTTTTTTTAAAAATAGAAGTAATAAATATAAAATTAAAATTAATTTTTTAACTTCCGTTAAATGAAGGATATATGTGAGTCATTTTATAACGACAGAGATATATATGAGTCGTTTGTATAACGGTAAGGGCATATATGAGTCACTTTTATAACAAGGGATATATCAGCTCCAAATGACAAAGTTGAGTTGAGGAGTATATCAGATCCTTTTCCCTCTTCTAAATATTTTAAATCCTTAATTATTTTAGATTATACTGCTAAATTCGTTTTAGGTAGTTTCTATATTATAATTTGACATTGCACATCAAATAATTTAACCATCATAAGTGACGAATAAGACGTTACATTTAACTAAATGTAGTATATATAAAAAATTCTGCATACGTCACTGAATATTGCAGGATGCTCCTTTCAAGAAACGAGCTAAGCATGGTGACGGAAGACGACGATGAGATACGCAATCAACAGGAACATCTCCAACAATGCTGCCAAGAATTGAGGAACATTGACACTCACTGCCGCTGCTCGGCACTTAAAACGATGGTGACGCGGGAGCCCGAGCTCATGTCACAGAGAGCTCGGTCCCTCCCCCGCGCCTGCAACATCGAGCCCACTGAATGCTACTTCTAATCAGTACGTATGTAAGTAAACAACACCATCACGTGTAAAACTTGTTTACCATCTGAGTAACTCCTCTTGTCGCGTATGTTTGAATAAATGGTCGTTCTTAAAGGTGTGTTTGGTACTAAGGAAATGTTTTCCAAATATGAAAAATTTTAGTTTTTTATTTAAAACTAGAAAAGAAAATGTGTTGTGTCTTGGTATACAAAAGGACTCCCAAATTGGAGTTACATTGGCTTCAATAAATCAAGCCATAGTAATGTATTCGAAAACAGTACCTCTTCCTCAACATAACCAAAAATACCTGAATCAAATATCGAAAATCGCGATAGGATTCTTACCCTGTAGCAACACTGTTGCAACGTTGAACAGGGGAAGTACCATCACAAGCTTCATTTTTACATTACCTTCATGGCTTATGAATTGCGTAACGCGCTTTCTTTGGCTTTTGTGTTTTGTTACCTGTTGGCATTGGCTGCCTGTTTTAAGCAATCATCATTAGAAAGTGAAATTCACAACTTATTTGAGTAGTAGCAAAGGATATCATTTTGATTTTCTAAAACGACAAGTATTATTGTAACGAATTTTAGCAGGAGTAACGAGTTATTAGGACCGGAGAGAGTAGTAGTACTTGTGGTGTTGCACCTGAGTTAGATGTACATTACCTTTTTGAGATATTTCTTGTGAAGTTTCATTGCACTAGTGCAAGCCTTCTTCGCGTCCAGGTTTCCAGTCATGTCATTCAGTATCTGTTAATAGTTCAAATATATTGATTCGAAAGAATTTTCTTCGTTGAAAAGACTATTGATGTTTAAATTTTATGTACTTCCGAAACCAACCTGAACAACGTCGTCTAGTCCTTTAGCTTCTGTAAGCAACTTTGTGCTCTTGTCCTTGAGGACACTGGCTACTAGGAAAACGGAAATTGGGAGTGGAGCTTCAGTACCTTTGCTTCGATTTTTCAGATTTTCTCTCTCAAATTTCCCACACTGGCGTGTTGATTTTGCTCTTCCTTTAGATCCTTCAGATTTTGCAGCAGCTAAGTCAGGGTCTTCATACATAAGAAACAAGTCGGGATCGTATTCCAACGCCCACATCATCTGTTGCAACAAGGCAATGACTGAGAAGTTCAACATTTAGAGACTAAGTATTCAGGAGAGAAGTCGTACCTCCCAAAGATATAATGAATCAGCAAAAGAGAATTCTCGACGGAACAAAACCATGAGCATACGGATAGCAAATAGGTAATCACCTCCACCTAATGTCTCTGTGAGAAATGATCAAAATCATATTCATTTCACGAAGAAAATTAGACGATAAATTGTTTGTTTACTGGGAAAAGATCATAAAATACCTAAGTGGTGATGAAGTTTAGGGTCAATAACTTGTGTTACTGAAGCAAGATTACTCAGCTGAGCTTCTACTCCGACAGACCTCTCGGTGCATCTGAAATTTCCTCTCTTTAAAATTTCACACAACACTTGATATTAGTTCACTAGAACTGCAAAAAGCATAATCCATATAGTAACACCAATAATTGTAGCTGCAAATCGAAAATATTGCTATTGAAGTACAACATTCTTTCTTGATAAGGAAAGGGGGGGCGGATTTGTCCTAATCATGCAGTACAATACAGTGCTGACAATAACTACGGCTGATCGAATTATATGAGAAGCTAAGGCATTTCAAAAATATGATTTACAACATTCGAACGATGAAATAATTCGTGTAAGAGTAAAGAAATGTTAATATATACCAGTCTCCTCATTAGGCGTTCAAAGCACCAAAATGCATCGGCTTCATCATCAAGAAGAATAATCATGGGAGAACAGAGATCGCTCATTCCTGCTCATCATTGTCAAGAGCTTAATATTATATAAAGAAACAGGATAAACAACTGCAGAAACAAAATAACATAAGGAGACTCTAATGCATTGACAAAGAAAATGGAAGGAATGTTGTTTCTTTTGTTCCTTTGTTTTTCCCTTTCTCTTTTGATTAATTGGTAAGTCTTTTGATTCGATGCACTGATAACTCGATATCGATCAAAATAAGGCAGCACAGTGAACAAAGCTCCCACTATGCATGATATCCAAGGAAAGGCCAGACCATAATGGTCAGTTATCGGATCAAAGAGAAGCTATAATGTACACAATTTCATATCAAGAAGATAATATGACAACCCACCTTGACAGTAATTGATATCTTTGTCAAACCAAGCATAAACAGACAGAATATCCCAAAGCTTGGATAGATTCTCCTGTTTCTCATAAAAGACAAGTGTCCTGTCAGTCCGAACAACATCGAGTCCTAGCATAAACACGTAAACCAGACTGAATAGTTACTAGATAAATAACCTGAAGAGAAAGAGTACTAACAAGTGATTTTGAAGAGAATGGAATAAACATCTCCCTCCATCCCAATTTATGCGAAGGTGTTTGACTAGGCATGGAGTTTAAGAGAAAAGGGTAAGACTTTAGAAACTTGCCATTTGAAATAGGAAGATTGAAATGGTTGTTACAAAAACGGAAACATGCCATTCTTTTCGGAAATGAGTAAAAAGGAAAGAGTGTCGCATAAATCGAGATGGAGGGAGTACTTGATTTGCTAACAGAAAAATGTTGATAGGTACTAGGTAAACACTTTTTAGATAAAGAAAACATTACAACAAGTTGTTGGATTTTTGAGCAAGTACATGCAATCTATATAGATAACTAACCTATCTGGTGTAATGAGAGTTTCCACTGGATTATTCTTTTGTCATGCTCCTTTACCTTTTCCCATCCAGGATTGCCGTTTTGTTGACCACCTGAATATAATTCTTTTGCTGCTTGTGCCTCTTGGAGAGTAATAGGATCTACTATAGGGTCACCATTTTCAGTAATTACAGGTGCAGTAATAAAACTACCACTTCCAATCATGGGAAACATTGCGTGACATTCTTCTTTCAGTACAGCATACTGGACCCTGAGCGAACACAACAGAAATCCAGGTCAACAATAAGGTATGGAAACTGCTTATGGATCAGTGTTTAGTTTATACTCAGGAACGGTAAATTATCCTCATTTTACATGTGAAGATAATTTGAGCCAAATTATATCGATGAACCATGATCAACTAAGCCTCATTCCCAAACATTTCACTTGCCATTAGTAGTGATGAGGTAGCAATGTGTATTCTTATGATGAATAACAATCTCCTAACTGTAATGAATTTGTCAAATTTGGTAACGTCTAAGTACAGAGTTTAAACCATTTTGATGAGCTACTGGTTTTTTAACACTGTCACCTGATGATCCTATATGGAGCCGTTTTCAGCTGAAAACGATTTTCAGGTCACCTCCAACAGTATAAATAAAATACCATGCTACCTATTGAAATCAAGTGATGAACTTGCAATTATTAAGTGATGTAAAATGGGAAAATAAGTGCTATATATGTTTTCCAACTTAGCAATAAAGAATGTAAATTACCTCCTCCGTTGTCGTATCTGCTCTCGTTCTTCAAATGTGCTCTTTGGATCATAACAACCCAATAAAAATTCCCAAACTTCACCTCTAATTGATGGATGAATCCCCTATAATGTCATAGAAATTTGATGGTTACTAGACTTCTATGCTAATCATCTTTTCAGGAATTTATGAGTAATGCATATTCATGGAATTAGTCAAACAAAACTGAAAAGAGTTCAAACAAATCAGCTAGTATAATAAAACTGTAGAATAGAAGCTTCAGGATCATACATCATGTAATCCTGCAAAAACATTGACATCAATAAGTCAAACTTACCCCACGATAAATTCGACTCAGTGTTTTGCCAATGTCAAGATAACCTTCTGATGTAAATGCAGCACGCCATTTCCTTGCACTTAAGGTTTTCCCAGCCTGAATAAGTAAATCAATAGATAAGACATATCCGGCAACACAAATACAGGAGATGGTGGATATCTAGTAAGGAGTTCAACTTATTCAAGAGAAATGTGAGAACTACTTCTGAACGTCATTATATGATTGACAATGTAGAGAGTCTTTTCGAATTCTTATTTGAGATGGTAAGCAGATAAACGAAAAATCCAGTTCTTTTCATGAAAAAAGAGGGACCTTTTGAAATGCTCATCCATCTTACTGACAACTAATGTGACACAACTGAAGATTTACATATACTCTACACTAAATACCCACAGTTCCGACTTAAGATATAATGCAAACTAGTTCACACCACATGTGCCACACGCGTTATGGAACAAATAGGGATCAAATGATATATGCTAATCATCATGCAGATTCACTCATTATATGTTGCACAACAGCAGCCAACCTCATAAGTTTAAAACCCGGAAATGTCATCCAATTGAATTCACTGATTGGCAAGGTTAAAGAGTGAGAAGAGTCTAAGAGTAAAAGATTGTTTGTACAGATTGATGGAACAGGAAACATATACTCCCTCTATCCCAATTTGAGTGTCTTACTTCCCACTTGGTTTTGTTCCAAAAAGAGTCTCTTTCTATATTAGCAAGTTTTTCAATTCCAATATTCTACACGACAAGTTCAAAACCACATGATTTTTTTAAGGACTATACAAATCTTTAATTTAAGACTAAATCAAACTAAGACACTTAAATTGGAACGGGAAGAGTAGTTTAATCTGCAAGTACAGCTTATGAAACATGTAAAAGGAAATTCAGGTGAACATTCCCCTTTCCCCAACTTAAAACCAGGTAATCTTGGACCAAGTACCAGTCCCAACTACTAAAATGGGGATGCAAACCGAAAAATGTTTCAAACAATAAGGCTTTATGCCACTATCAAATTCTGAAGAGCAAACTGTAAGCAAAACATTTATGTTCTACTGTGAAGTCTTTATTACTTCCAATAGATATTTGGTTCTACATTCTTTTTACCACGAGAGACATTGGCAGCCATAGATCATTTGATTTGGCTGATGCTAATTGCAGTTGATGATCCCCATCTAGAACCCAAGTCTAAGGTCTGCCAGATAAACATCTTCCATCTCAACAAAACACATGATCTTTTCAATCATCTCAATACATCCCACAACATAACACAATAGATTACCTCATTCATGCACATTACTAGTTGTCCTACAAAAGCTTCTAACATACAACAACAACAACTACTACTACGCCTCAATCCCAAACAAGTTAGAATCCCAACTTCTCATACAAGCTCATACCAAAAATCTATTCAAAAAAACACAAATGTAATACAATGCCCCTAGCATCAAAAACTAAAAAAACTAACCTTGATTCTAAATCTTGTTTTTGGAACATTTGTACATTCAGGGCGAACCTGGTAGAAAGAATCAGCAGGAGCTCCAGGGTCCCTCCACATTCTTGAAAACTCCTCAAACCAAACAAAAAAAAAAACAATCTTGGAAACCCAACAGCTGCAGCTCAAGAACCCAGATCAGATTTTCAACAAGAAAAACAAAAATGAGACAACCCCAGATCATAAAACTTGTTTTTCTAGCTACCCATTTGACAGAAATTCAAGAAACACATTATAATCAACATAAAAATTTGATCTTTTTCCTAATTGCCAAATACTTAGCTAAACTTTCTTTTTCTTTTTTTGGGTAAGAATGGTGTTTTACAGTTTTGAGTATTCTGGTGGTGACAATTTCACAGTCAGAGCTAACGAGGAAGACGTGGGATCCAGCGAGAAAACAGTGGAAAATCAGAAGGCTATTTGTTTATTGGGACATTTGTTCACGCGCTGACGGCGGCGCGTGTGTTGGAAATATTGATGTTTTTTGTTCCATTTGACTTGGTAAGTTTAGAAATGGTCAACCATATTTTTGGTCATAAATCATTAAGATTTTTGGGTCAATTATTAAATTGACACATTAATAGTTGAGCTTAATATATGTAATTACTAATTTTTAAAGTAATTATTACAATACAACTCGAGTGTGTCAATTTTTTTAATCGAGCTTAATTGAATAGAATTTTGATGAAATTTTAATTCGTAAGTTCGTACAAATAGAATTTGTTATTTAACTTTGGTATATTGATACTATACAAACGAATTTAAATGATTTAAAGAGTCGAGTTCAAGTCGATTCAGTTTTATACTAAGGCTTCGAGGCAATTGTTTGCAAGGAACAAAATTATGAATAGGCATTTCAACTTTTCTAATCGAATTTCATAATAATAATTGTTCCTAAGTATGATTAAAAAGAATGATTCGTAAAGTGAAAATATTATTTTCTCTATTTCACCTTTAATGTTACTCTTAATACCAAACACAACATTTTATCACAAAAATACTCCGTTTACCTATTTACTCCACCTTCTTTTTCCACTTTTTGTGTAAAAATTTATCATGTATGATAAAAGAGACCTGTGTTAAATTAATAGTTAAAGATTGTGTTGAAATAAATAAAATTCTATCATATTTAATTAGAAATTTTAAATCTAAATCATGAATATAAAAATCTCGCAAATAAGTGGTTTTTCTTTAAATGGATTTTACACATCATGAATTCAGATTAACGGAAACCTCAATACAAATAGACAAAATAAAAAAAATCCCTTTACTTTTAATCAGAATTGTCGAATTCGAATTGAAACCCCTACTAATGAGTGTTTTTTAAAAAATGGAACTTTACGCGTATTAATTTAGAGTTTTAGACTAATCAAAACCTCAATATGAATACTAGAAAGAAAGAAAAAACCCCTTTACTTTTAATCAGAAAGTCTCGAATTTGAATCTTGAATATCAAAAAACTTGTATTTCTCCTTTTATATTGCATGAATCTAGATTAATCGGGACCTCAATACGAATACAGAGACAGAAAAAAACAAAAGGATTCCTCAACCCAAACACACAAGACATGAAAATTCTTGATAATGTTGAAGAAAAGAATAATTCCAAAAATAAGTTAACTAAAAAGTACTCAAAAACAACAAGTTCCTCTCTTTGGCTTTATGCTTTGTCATAGTAGTTAAGAAATCTAAAGGTGAATAAGAATAACTAAAAGAAACAAAAGCTTCACTGCCACAGCTTGTAAAGTTCATCTAAATTTTGCACCTACAAATATCCCACATTTTCATTCTCCATTCTCATCAACCATATAGTTTTCTATTTCAATTTTCATCTAACATTTATTTAATTTTATTCTTTGTCTTCATTATTTTATTTTATTTTATTTTTTCCCCAATGGCTCAAATAACAAGTTCAAGATCAAATACAAAAGTTTTTTATTTTTTGGGCTTGTTCAATATTTTGTTGATGTTACAAAATGCCAACTGTTATGAGTTTAAAGTTGGAGGCTCTGGAGATTGGAGTGTCCCTATGGATGCCAATGCTAATAATTACAATCAATGGGCTGAAAGGAGTAGATTCCAAATTGGTGACACTTTATGTAAGTTTTATTATATATTCATTTCGATTTTCACCTTTACATTAGTCATAAAATAAACAGTAAATCTGATCGACTATCTGTGAAAAGATCACATATTTGTTTAAGGAGTGCCTTTTATTATCGTTCTATTTTCAAAATTGATCTCTATGAGTTAGGCCCGTTTGGATTGAGTTATTTTTATTATTTTAGCTTTAAAAAAGTATTTATAAGCACTTTTTAACTTTACTCAAACACTTCAAAACTGCTTAAAAGCTATTTTAATTTAAAAGCACCTAAAATAAGTCGATCCAAATGAAAACTCACTATACTTTTAGAAGTTCCTTTTTATATACACGTCTATCTTTCATATCAAAAATATTGAGTTCGATTAAACTTGTATAGTACTAACTACTAAGGCTATATTCTCTTATTCGTTCAGAATTCACTAACTCTAGATCATGGATTCACCTCTAGACAATGTACAAGTTTGATTCTTAATTCTAATACACCTTTTGTTGGCCTTGGCAGCTTTTAGCTACTCTGCTGATAAAGACTCAGTGCTTCTTGTAAACAAGGCAGATTTTGACAATTGCAACACTGCTTCTCCCATTGAGAAGTACAGTGATGGACAGAGTGTGGTTAAGTTTAACCACTCTGGTGCATACTTCTTCATTAGTGGTGTTCATGACAACTGTGTCAAGAATGAAAAGTTGCATCTTGTAGTCATGGCTGATAGAAGTCACAACAACCAAACAGCTTCTTCTCCTCCTCCATCCCCATCAGTAGACGAAGTTCCTCCGTCTCCGGCCCCGTCTGGTGAGGAGGCACCATCACCACCATCTGACTCAGGTGAGACCAACCAAACACCAGCTCCCTCTCAAGAATCATCTCCTCCGAAGAATGGTGCTTCGTCGACCGTTATGAGCTTTGTTGGCTCTGCTGCAGCTCTTGTTGGTTCATCCATACTGTTGGGGTTCTGATAAAAGAGATGATTGACTTGTTTGTATTTGTTTTGTTTTGATTGTTTTCATTTTTTGGGTTTTGTGTTTCATGATTTTCCTACTTTGTTCTCAGTGAATGTAGCTGAGAGTAAAAGGGTGTATTGATTTGTATTGGTTATATGTGATGAAAAATAAATAAACTAAATGTTTGTGTATAGACTGAGGATTTGTTTCACTTCTGAAAGAAATGTTTTAAAATTGTGTGAATCATTGTAAGAACCTTGTTAAGGGTAATTTATGTTTTTACTCTAAAAGTCTATATTAATCAGGCTATGATTAGTATAGTAGACAATGTTGTATCTGCTCTGCTCAACTAGGTGATAGTAACACTGCGAGTCTTTCATAAACAGATTCTCTACCTTCACGAAACAGGTAAGGTCTGCGTACACGAGCCAAATTGAACTATAAGAAACTTTCGACCTCATAGCAGGGGTGTGGAGACTGCAGAACACAAGTAAAGAAATCTAATTCTCGGGCTAACAAATGTGTAATATAAGTTGTTATTAATGAAAAAGATTTTGATAATTGACAAATAGAGGAACAGATGAAAGAAACAGGTTGTTCGACGTGGTCCTTACAAATCGAATTCCACTTGGGTAAGGAGAACGTAAACCTCGCGATTTTAGAAGATATAAAGTTGTGGAAGTATTGCTTTTTCGACAAGCAACCAGTACATAAGGTTTCCTTTTATAAAGGAGTTTGCAACCAAGTTGAAAAAGGAATTCCACTTGGTTAAGGAGAACATCAACCTCGCGATTTAGAAGATATAAAGTTGTGGAAATATTGCTTTTCCGACAGGCAACCAATACATAAGGTTTCCTTTTATAAAGGAGTTTGCAACCAAGTTGAAAAAGGAATTAGCGTTCAATAATGTTTTCTTATTTAATTAAGGAAAATTGCGTAGAAGACAGGCTTTTTTGTTGTCTATTTAACAACAAAGTCACGTAGGAGAAGGAGTTCTACATAGACGAGGTTTCCTTAATGCGACAAAGCTATATTCTAGTTGAAGAAGGAGTTGAATATGAGGTGAAGACAAGTTCAAGTTGAACTAGGAGTTCCACACAAAAAAGGAGTCCTACATGAAGTGGGATTTTTAGTTGGAATAGGTTTTGGATTCAAGTCCAAATCTATAAATAAGGCGATAGTTTCGCTTCAGAAAAAATGTGCACTCACATAGAGAAAAGATCAAAACATGATCAAGAGGTTTGAGTGAGTTTTGAGAGTTACTTGGAAGTGTTGCCAATTTGTGAGGAAAAAATTGTAAGATTGTAATTAAGAGTTTGGATTACAATCGAGTATATGCGTAGGATTCGTCTAACAAGTTTGAGAAACTTAACGGACGGTAGAAGACTTAAACCTGGGGGGTTGTCTTGGGTAGCTAAGTATTAGAGTTTATATTTTCTTAACTAGAATTAGAGTTTATAATTCCTCTAAAAATTAGAGTTTATAATGCCTTAGGTTACATAGGTATGTAATCTTGTGTTGAGACTTGGAGTTTAATAAAGTAAAGTTAAATCCTACGTTGGTGTAGGTCGTGATTTTTACCTTTGAGTTACATATCAATATGTTAAATTATTGAGATTGATGAGTCAAGACCCAACCCGTTTTTTACTCATTTGAGCCCAAAGTAAACTTGGGTGGGTCAAAACTCAACCTGATTTCTATTTAACCCATTGTAATATTTCTAATCCCAACCCAACCCGCCTATTTGACACCCATAGGTTAGATCATGTACTTTGACACTTAAAAAGCAAAAGTGTTTTGGAACAAATTAGAGCGGCTAACATATTCCACAAATTAAAGCGCCTGCACGAGAAATTTACTAATATATTTGGTGCAGATCACCAGAACTCTTGATGCAAGAAAAATGTTTTCAAGACTTGCTGTAAACGAAGAGAATATCTAATATAGTATAATTTTAAAGCGTATAATTATAGTGCACAAACTAAATTTCTATCATCAGACTACTCTCCTCAAAAATTCTTTCCTAGCTCAACTTTTTTCACCATTCTCATTGTGTTGTGCAGAATCGAGTCCAGTATGCCGGCAACCTATGCCACCCAAAAAGAACGAATATAGGGAAGTTTCAATAAAGATGACACAAATGAAAGCCCAGAGAAAGTTGTTAGCAGGGAATGACGGTGTGAAACAACAGGAGAGGCAAGTAGGAGAGACTGACCGTGAAAACACCACCAATAATAGCGCAGACATTGGTAAGAAAATGTGAAAAGGACTTGGGATTTTCTGTAATCAAGACCTGATAGCAAAGGACAAATAATAAGAATAAGAAACCAAAATAAGATGTATTAAGCTATATCACATAATCACGAAATGTACTGATGCAACACCTGCATTGGTGATGGCTCATAATGAAATTTCGCTACTGGTATGTGAAGACTATGAACCAAACTACTATGTGCCGTGTACTCGTACTCCTCAACTAATTTGTACGATCTTGTCATCACCTCTGTTTTCACCACTTGAAGAAAATGTTCAATCTGCAATAAAGATAAAAGGTGAGCTAGGTTTTCTGGTCATCCTTGAAACTCTTTATTAATGTACCAGCTGAAAAATATCATAGAAGTGCACCCAAAAACTTGTGGAGAGCAGATGAAACAGTGACTGAGAATTGAGATTTCTTTATACTTCCGTAAGATTTTATAGACCGGAGTCTGTAAAAGCAGCAAAAATGTAAAATTATAACATTTAAATTTATAAATGATTGGTGCTTTGAACACTAGGCAATTTTAATGCACTGTCTTAGTGTTACTTTATCATTTATAAAATATCACTCATAAGAAAATGAATATTGGATCTAACTCAACCTCAAAAGCAAGCTCAAGAGGCAAGGATTTCCCAAGACCAAACAAAGAGACCAATCACCATTAACCCACCAAAATAGGAACCCAAATGTTGAGATGAGATGGTCACATAATTCAACAATTACTTCTCCCAAAAAAAAAAGAGAGAGAATATAGTAGGTGAGTAGGAGCTTACAGTAACATTTTCTGTGGAATCTCTTGGATTAGTAACATATGAGTTACCATTCAACCTATCATGGCTTCGACCCAAATGTGGTAGCAGTATTTTGATATCACTCATAACCTTCGGAGTAATTGTCTTACCAAATGAAAAGCTAGAAATTACATGTGACATGTTCATCTGAGAAGCATCAAATGAATGAGCAGCTGAACGAGCTGATATGACAAGGTTGCCAGGAACCTGAACAGTACATAACATAAATGGATATATTACTTTGTCAAATATTTAAGAGTAGCAAGACAACAATGCATGAGCACTTCAACAATCTTACTGCCCAGGTTTATATTTCAAACAACTTAAAACATATCATATTTCATATCGTCTCCAGCATCATCCTTGTGTTTTTTAAGTTTGAGTTGCAGTTGCAGGGGCACTTAATTTTTACTGGCTGCCATCAATAACTTGCTTACCTTCTTAACACGTACAAAACCTTCTATTCTGCATCCTCCAGTTACAGGAGCAGGTCTTTTCAAGCCAGTTTCCAGCTTGGTAGACGAATTATCTGAAGTAATCGTTTGAGAATCCAGCTTGATAGGTGCAACCAAATCTTCCATCATCTGCAGAAGAATAAATATACCAGTCATCTCAATGGCATGATACAAATGATACAATAACATCTAATGCAACACAACTGCCACATTGCATTGTGAAAAATCAGTACAAACAGCTGTGCCCTGTGATTGCAAAAAGGAAGCATGAAGTGGATCAGCTCTGTTTTTTTTCTCAATCTTAACCATCCTTAAGTTTTCCTCTTTTAATGTTTTCTTCTTTTCCTTATTCAAGCCCAATTGTTCTCACCTTGACTAAGCTATCTGTATCACGATCCCCATAGTATGACTCGTGATCATGGTGTCCGTGATCGTCTCTGCATGGCAAGCATAGTAAACAATAATACATTATAAGAACCATGCGAATGAGATTTAGGCTTTAAAAAAAACAGAATTCATTAAACTTCCAAGTACATGGGCCAAATATCAAAGTTGAAATGATGTAAAGTTAACAAACACTGACCTATCTACTTTCCTATTTAGTTTTTACCTCCACCATCCAAACACTGGGTAATGTACAGCTCTAATTATTCAGAAATTGGAATGCTTGTAGCAACTTTAACAAGGGTTACTACACTTATAACTCACAAGGGGTAGAGATAAGAACTTCAACAAAGTGATCAAGCTGCTCAAAATTTTCAGCATGAAAAGTAGAAGCCGGTAGAGATTAAAAGAGAAGGCAAAAGATAGAATGGTGAAGAAGAGGAATTTCAGTACATTTTACATGGCCAAAAGTTGCGCTGATAAGGTTCAAAACTTTCGGAAAGGGGTCAAATAAAAATAACAAGTGCACCTGTAATCATGCTGGAAAATCTAACACCTTAGCATTGATGTGACCAGTCACACAACAACAGCCTACAGTTAACAACGTAATAAGAACTAACAGGAGATTTTCTCTTTTTCTTTTGAATTTAAGATGGTTTGGGATCATAGTCAAACCAATAAATTATGAAGGACATTAAACAATTTTAAATTTTAATTAGTAGTAGTGCAAGTTGATAAGTGATAAAGATAAGTTAATGGCTTACCTAACATCAGTTCCTTTTCTGAAGATGCGAATGGAGGGATACCCTTGTATGTGATTCCTGAAAATTTATTATTAGATGATTATTAGGCATAAGGATAAAATGAAATCATAGTAAGAAACTCATAAACCAAAAGAACATTAGTCAAGACAACTCTAAGCACTTTCATCAAACTACTTGCGGGACACACAAGGACTCCTTACTAAAGCATATAGTACAAAGTCCAACCTAATCTCCTCCTTTAGTCAGGTGATATATCTATTTTTTTGCAAGTTCACTGTCACGGTTCAACCAATCAACACTGCAGCAATTGAGAAATTGAATTGAAGGAAGAGGTAGATTGAGTATTAGGTCTGTGATAGCTGAGGTAACATTAATACTATCCCCTAAACTAACTGAACCTCTCCTCATAGTTTGAGAATCCACCAGACATGTGTAATCAAGGATTTGAAGCTCAGTTGCTCTTCTCCATTTTTTAGATTGTGAGGAAACAATTAGATTAACCGTCTTTTCTTGAACACAGAAACAAAGATGATTAAATCAA